CATTCCTTTCCATGAGTTTCTGTTCCTGACCGAGTTATCTTTAAACCAAGTGGCAAAATCAAAAGTGAAAACAAAACAACAAAAATCAGGGGCTCCAGCATTGGTGATCCCTCGTGTCCTGGTGCCATGTGACTTTCCCAAGCCTTATCTCCTTCAGGCAACCTCAGCTGAGATCCATAGCATTGCTCAAGTATCCCTCTCTTCTCTCTCTTTCCCATGATATTCTTTTAAATTTATTTCCCTTTATCTCCCTTTATCTCAATTCTACTAATTGTTAAACCTCCCACATACACCTGCACCAGAGCAGAAACAGTTTCTCCTTCCTATAGCACTTTCATCTGTACCTCTCTGAAGACATCTTCGTGCTACCTTTTGGTGGGTACTATAGTTATGAGGTTATGGCAGCCCTTCCTCCTGGGCCATGAGCTTCTGGAGAGGAGGGAAAATATATCTATCTGGCTTCCTATTGAATATTCCATTGCACACAGTGGAGTGCCTACTATATATTAAACAAATGAATGAATGAATGAAAAATCTCCTTTGCAAAGCTATGAATTCTCCCAGTTAAAAAATTATGAAATGGCCTCTGTAGAAACAAGAGGCAGCTTAAAAAAAAGCATATAAAATATTACAGCTCTGAATATGCTAAAAACATTTTATTTACTCATAGTATCAGAATACTGGAAGGATTTTATTCTTATTTCCCTTTGGTCTGGCTCTTGCTATTTCTTTTTCTTTTTTAAATCAAGGTCCATAGACAATTGGTTTTGTGGGAGTGAAATAAAGGATGGAGATTTGTGATGGGCAAAAATAAAGAACTGTCCTTTTTTATCTAAAGCAATTACCATGAGGATAAACAGCTTTCTTCTTAATACTGCAATTCCATAAATAACACTAGAATTCTTGACATCCCAGCAGTAAGAAGTTTGCAGGGCAGTGCCAACGATATATACTGCTGGCTAGGAGAAACTATTGTTTACAAGCTAATCATCATATAACAAGTTGGCTTTTGTTAGCTATCTGAGAGGTTAAAATAGCAGATTGGGAAAGATAAAGTGTGTATCAACATGTACATTTTTAAAATCTCTGATTACAAACAATAGTTTGAGAGAATTGAAAAAAAACAAGTTAGAAAAAAACCAGTTTATTAAGTAATATCATATAAATAACTTGTTACAAAAATTGATTTGCAAAAGGCATATTTACTCTTTGTGAGAAATCACTTCTTAAATTGCATTCTTTTCGAATTTATACGTCTACGAAAACAAAGGAAAATAAAAGAAGCCATTTCAAGGAGTGTGTGTTTGCCATTTGACTACAACAAAAGGCCCGGCCACACTGAGCTAAAATGTAATTGTCTCAACCCCGTTCTTCTAATACAGAAAATTTTCTCATGTAAACTGTGAAGTTATGAAAATCTCCCTAACTACAAATGTGGATGAAAGCTGAGCAGTGACTGTTTCCATCAGGTGTTCTCGCTCCCAAAGACACGAGTGATACAGAACTGAATGCTCCAGGCCAGTAAATCTTCAAGGGTGGCATCAGTTTCAATTTATACTTGGGAGTGTTTTTAATTAAAAACAATCAATACCAAAAAGCTTTTATTTTCTGGGTTTAAAATCACAAATCACAGTAGGGGAACGCCAAATTGCCTTAGCTTGGTACTACTGAAGACATACATAGCATTTATTATAAGGCCTATTCTTATGCAGTGTACTTTCAAAGCAATGAGAATAATCACAAACAAAACAGTACAACGCTTTCGAAGTGTTCCTATGTGTCTTCTGAGCAGATCAGTGTTACGTCTGCCACACAACACTCCCCCTGAATGCCTAGTTATTCTATGCATCTGATTCCTTAATAAACACTAATAGATCATAGAAAACTAAAAGCTTATAGAAGGTGCCTCTAGACATATTTACATAAATAGCAGAGTCTTGTAAGAAAGACCAAGATCTCATTAGAGTGGAATGCTTTTTGCACAATGCTGGGTCCATGCCTCATTTGTCAAATTAACCCCATTTGAGGAGAAATTTGAGTTTGTGTCCATGGGTTCTTCAAAAAAAAATGGAATTAAGTAACTTGTAAAAGCTCTTTTGAAATTAATCTAATAAGCCAGTGGCTCTTCAGCTAAGTGCCTCGGTCCTGTCTGAAATACAGTGGATAATAGCTTTGTTTCCATCTGACCTCCTTTCGGCACTTTCATCTGCTGCCTCTGCTGGGCTAACGTTCCCCCCGAATTAAAAAATGAAAATGCATCATAAATAAGGTATTACAAAATGGGGAGGAGATTAAAGATTGTCTCAGCAATGCTTAAATTAAACTGACGATACAGAGACCATAAACTTCTGACTTTAAAAATGAGCTATTTCTTTATTAACTTTTAACAAGTGTGTGAGTCAATGTATTTCCTTTCTTGGAGGGTATTGCTTTGAACATTAAATATGGTCGGGGTCTGCTATTTTTTAGTAGAGAATTATCCCTTTAGAAAATTATTCCATAAAGATGCCAAAGACAGATTAAAAATGCTGCAACTGTAATAGTCACTGAACTTTTAAGGAGACCATACTGAAATTCTGTATTCTCTGGAAAACAGAGCTGCTTGTCAGACCTTAGGAAATAGTTCATCTTCCTGAAGATCCACACTCTAAGTCTTAATCTTTCCACTCTTATGATCTGATGAAGAAGGCTGGGTTGTATTGTTAACGTAAACACAGCAGCCTGTTTGGATTTTTAATCCCTGCTCACAATTCAAAAAGATTTCATCTAGATAAAAACATAAAAAATAAAATTAAACTAAAATGATCCTTTTCAGAGGATGCCTTTCCAAATAGTGGGGATCGTGACTTTTCAGAGCATTCTTCCAAAGAAATTACACCACTTAAACCTAGTAACTAGGATATAATAATTTATTTGGTGATTTTGTTCCTGAGGAAAATGAATTTAGCTGTACCTGGTTTAAATATTCAGTTTGTGCCCAAGAATCAGCTCTGTTGTTTCCTTTCAACTGCATACTATTTTTGTCCTCAAGTATGTAGAATTGAGGAAGGCCCAGTTCATAGTTTATACATTATTATCTCCAATGAAATAAACATTTCAAGGCAAAGCATTTGATGTAAGGTATTATTTAGCAAATCAGGACATCTAAAATTTACCTACTTAAAAATGAAAGTAAGGGCTAGACTGGTGGTGTACTGGTTAAGTTTGTGCGCTCCACTTCAGTGGCCTGGGGTTCGTAGGTTCGGATCCCGGACACAGACCTACACACCACTCATCAAGCCAAGCTATAGTGGTGTCCCACACACAAAGTAGAGGAAGATTAGCACAGATGTTAGCTCAGGGACAATCTTCCTCATCAAAAAAAAAAAAAAAAAGAAAGAAAGTAATGGAAACTTTCTAAAGTTAGTTTGGATCCATAAAATTTAGATGCTTCTAAGATAGAGATTCAACTTTAAGAACTTTTTGTACAACATTTTGGGACCTGAAAATGAACACTAAACCAAAAACATTTTTACCAAGTTAAAGTTGAATCACCAGGTTTTGTTCCATCTGAAAATGGAGTCAATTTGTATTCGAACCTCCCTTTTTCCATGTAAACCATAAAGCCAAGAAAGTTCTGTAAAAATCATATGTTTACTGTGCCCAGATCCCCTCTCTTATGGTTCTATGGAGCCATCTTTGCTTCTCTCCCATTTGATTTTTCTTTTATTTGGGGACAAATGTTTTCTAGGTCTTTCAGCAGAAAGTGGTCATGAAGTGAAGGGGCTTTAAATTTATGCACAATGGTTTAATGTCTTTAAAATTTCAGCATATTCTAGGGAACATCTTAATGGTTTGAAGAAACTCTCCCCTTTGAATGGAGGGAAAAAAAAATGTCAGAAAGGCCTCACAGTCCTTGAAGCAACCTACAAAAGCAATCTGCTTATGTTTAATAAATTGTAGCTTCTCAGTGATTACAGAAAATATTAAAATTTTATCTCTTTCCCCTTTCCTTCCATCTTTCTCATCACCAGCATCTAATATCAGGACAGAGACAATGTGAAAACTGAGCTGAAAACTAATTTTTTTCTCCAGTAATCATTCATGTTGACCTGAGTCCTGACCTGATACTTTGGTGGGAAGGAAGTGAAACCTGCCTAGAATGATGGAACTGTGGCTCTTATTGTATCCATGACATCAAAGAGTCTTCATTATAGGAAAATACTACCCCACCTTGATACTTACAGGACCCTCATGCTAAATATTCAGTTCCAGCCTCAAAGTCTCGAGTTTCTTAGAGATTCACTTGATCATCAGGTTTTGTGGTAGGAGATTAGACAGTTATTTCAGTATTTAGTCATATCATCTTGTTCTTGTATACCATATCATCGTAAGGGAGGGATAAAATATCCTGCCAATTACATCTCAAATATTCCACGACAGAACTACTTACTTTCAGTTCTGAGGAAAGAGTAAACTTTACCCTTAAACATTGGAAGTCGCTAGTGTCAACCCTCCGACGTTCAAGTTAACGCCAAAAGTTCAAAAGAAGACTTTTGATGATATGTTTCTTTTTACAGGACTTTCTTTCTTGATTCAATTTGTTACATGACATGATACATAAGGATAGAGAGCTCTTTAATTTTACAATAAGTCATGTAATTAAGGTGTTGTTCTATTGCTATAAATAACTAGTTCTTATTAAACTTTACTAAGCTATCTTTTTTCAACACTTACCTGTGTCTATGATATACATTGATTCATTACAGTGAAGCCCTCTTGTAGTATTTTGTTTGCATTCCTCTGTGTGTGTATATATGTCCGTGTGTGTATGAAGAACTAACAAAAGAAAACCCTGAAAGCAAGAAATAGCCCAAGCATGGCATACTTGTTAGTATACAGGGAAGTCTATTAGAAAATAGGAAACCATTCAGGAAGCACAAGGATAATATGATTGTAAAAATTTTTCACTCTACTTGGGTAACCCAAAATACTACATTTCTCTTATTTTAAAGGTGCCGTCTTTCTTCCTGGGTAATATGCCTACTTAAAACGGAACCAAACAACAATGTGTTTCCAAAAAGAAAATATGTGCTGATATGACATTATCCCCCAATGGAAATTACGCTAAGATTATCTGTAGAAAATTAACATTAATTGAAAATAAATCCCTAAGACTAATAATTGAAGTCAGCATATTCTTAAGTACATATTATATATATACAGCGCCTGTTTTTTTCCTAAAGGTTTCAAAACAAGGATGTTTTCATTACAGTACTTTGGAAATTTCTGATGACTGCACGATGTAGGATTCTAATGATAAAAGTCATTAGAACAGCCGTATGAAATAAATGATTTGAACCTGCCAAAAGGATTAGTTCAGTTCAGTTGGGTCTTCTGGATAATAACTGTGATGCTAATTGCATAATTAGAGAAATAATAGATTGGATGGATTGTACATTACTTTTCTGTCATAGTTTGAGACCATTACTTTATCATTAGCTCAAAGACAAGGCTGGCAGGGTTGCCATGGAAACTAAGTTAAAAACAATCAAAAAATATTAATGCTTTTGAAAGTCAACTATCATTTTAATTACAATCTTAAACACTCTTGTTGAAGGGAATCTGAGTTTTTCCCTTTGTAAGCATCTTCCAAATATGTTATATGTAGGTTTTCACCATGATCTCAATGTTCATCTATATCTATCACATTATATAAATAGATAGATGTTTCTGGACGTGAAGGACAGGGTATCAGGTTCAAGTGTGGCTGGCTCTTACCTCCCCATTAAACTCCAAGAGCAGGATTCGAGTTTTATTTAATCTACCTTTACTAATGCAACTTAACTGTGTAAGAAGTATCTTAAGAATATGAATTATTGTACTTCACACTGCTACATTCAAGTATATTAGAATAATACTGAGGACAACTACAGACAAGGAGTTAAAATTTATCTCAGAAAAGTTCCTTCAAGAACTGTTAAACAATTAGACTTATTTGTAATTAGCCTACTGATGGTTGAAACAATTTCAAGTAATCTGTGGTATATTTGGTGGCCCAAAGTTTAAAGTATGTTAAATATTTATTTTGTTAACATTGTTAGCTATTTTCCCTTTTCCTTTATATGGTGGGAGGGCAAACTTCTGCATGTCTACTATATAACAAATTAGAAGTTAGTGGCAAAGAATGAGGTCTTACTAAGTTTTTTGTTTTTTGGTGGTTGTTTTTGAATGCTACCATTTAATTTGCTTTTATTCCTAAAGAGGAATGAGAATCTTAAAACATTGGTGGATCTGATGTTTTGAATAGCCAATGGTGTCAGAAAAAGTTCTTGAAGAACACACAGGATGGGTAGATGTTTTAAATTCTTTGTGATGGAAACACACACTCATATATAGTTCATTATCTCCTTGTGGGCTGATGCACCAGGAACGACTGTGAAGTTGTTCCTCATTTCTCTTACTAAAACTCTATCTTTAATCATTAAAGCACAATCCCTCATCCCATTAGCATGTGAAGTGTACAGGCGGAGCAGTCAGCCGACCTGAGTCAACGGAGTGTAGTAAAAAGACCAGGCCAGTTGAATTGAGCATGTTCGGAACTTGCCCTAAGAGAACAAGGGAAAATGTTACTCTCTGTCCTCTCCTCCAGCTTGGGGCCTGTTGGGCTGACTGACATGGTTAACTGATGCGCTAAAAAATAAACATTTGCCTCTTGGAAGCTCATAAAAGTGTACTAGAAAAAAGTCTCTAACATTAGATCCCCACGGACTGCAGCCATTGACTTTTGGAACTGGTAGAACAGAGAACCCTCCACGGAGTAGTGGATAAATAGAAAGAAATAGCCACTTCGCATGTTTCAGTGTCGTATTGGAAAATGAAAAAAGGCAACATATTAGGAGTCTTTGTCACTGTCCACCCCTCCGTACATATCTGCGAGCTTTTTGAAGCGAGGGCCCCAGTCACTAAGGTAATCATAGTCTTGGTCTCCATCTGTGGTCACTGACTCCAGCGAGCTCAGGGAATCGGCCACCGAGCCGGTGCCCTCGTAGGCATAGGTGGCCAAGGAGTCGTAGGGCGGGGCAGTGGGGTCCGTGTCATTCTCCTTTAACCTTTGGTTGATGAAATCTCGGACGTCGGTGTTATCACGAGCGGCTGGAGTCCGTCGGGGTAGAAAAAGGGCTTCGGGCACAATGTCCCTGCGTAATTTGCTGTCCTCTATGGCTTCGGGATTCCTCAGGGTGCCGATATCAAAGGCCTGAGTGTCCTCCTCTCCACCACCTTCGTCGTTGTAACTGACAATGTTGTCTCTGATGTCCTCTTTGGAAATGATCAAAGGTTCTTTTTTCCGCTGCCGCCTCAGAGCTGCAAACAACACCACTGTCACTGGAGGCAGAAACAAAACAGAAAAGGGAAGGAAAAGTTAATTTGCCGCCCAATTAGTGCCAGGAAAGAACACTGTGCTCCAATGCGAAGTTTTAAAAGTTTTCTAGGAAAGTGCAGACTCAACTTTTCTTTCTTGAAGCATCTACTCGCCTCTGTGCATGATCAAACTAGGAACCAAAGAAATGGAGTAAATATTTGAAAGAGGGTTACAATTTAAGTGGAGGATAAAACACCGTCATATTTTGTCAGTAGTTCCTTTTTGCTTTGAAATGGCAAACTAGTTTTAAGGTAAAGAAAAAAATAAAATAATAATGAAAGAAAGCTCAACCACAGTGAGAGTATTGTGTTGAGTGCAAATTATGCTAAACACCTAAAATGCTCTGAAGCCGCTTATAAGCACAAGGCTGGCACCTTCTAGATGTGTTGAAGGGTTTGCATAACTCCACATCTAAAATAACTTTTGCACTATGCCTTCCTTTTTTTTTTCTGAGAAAAGTGTAAAATTAGTTTAAAACCTAAAGTCGAGATGTGAATATTTGCATACCTTTCCCACATATAAGGACATGTTAGTACAGATGATACGTGGAGAGACCCAGATACAATTCAGAAAAGCCCTTTGGGACTTCAAGACCAGCCCGTTTGAAGGGGGCAGGTTATCATACACATGCCAGATTATTTCTGTTTGAGCTAAACAAAATAAACACATTTAAGTGGGGACTCAAAACTTCCAAAGGTTTATATTCTATAAATTTGTTGCCCAGAGTGTTCATCCTTTTGGTTTTTCCTCTCAACTCAAATTAGACACAAAGCAAGAATTGTGTTTCAATAGCTCCTGGTGTTTCTTCACAGCTGGCCGGGGAGAACACAGCTGGCTACCTGTAGAGAGACACGTCTACAAATGGACATATGGGTGGGAAAATAAAACAGCAACAGCTTAGAGAGAAAACAGTTATCCAGGGCAGAAGATGTATTGTCAAACGGGGTTTGTCCAGGGGAGTTTATTACAGGGAGTACCAATAATGTTTTTTTATTCTTTCATCCATACATGGTCCCGTTTTCATGAACCATGAAAATAGAATTATTGCAATAAAAATTCCAGAATAATGGCTTTTGGTGGGTGTGTATATCTACCTATATAATAAAGGATATATGTTCACCCGTATGTCTATATGTTAAAGTTTCAGATGTTAATAGTATTAATAAGAATTGGTTGTCTATTTAGAGAGTTCTATATGTCAAGCACTGTGTGAAGTACTTTACATACTGAATCTCATTTAATTACCATGATACCCCTACGAAGTATATACCATCATTAGACCCCCATTTTATGGAGAGGAAATTGAGGCTTAGAAATGTCACAGGTACAAGCAATTGAATTCCAGCTCAGTCAGACTAGAAAGCCCACAGTCTTAACCACCACGCTGTGAAGCATGTTGGGATTATAGACTATTTCTAAAGGAAATACACTTTTTTCCTTTTCAAGTGTGTGGCTGTGTAATTGCACACATTCTCATTTGCTGCCAGAGAGTATCCTGATGCCACATTTGTCCCATTCATTCAGGGTATTTATTTATCGGTTCGTTCAGTAAATATCTAGGTAGTGCCTACTCTGTGCCAGGTACAGTTCTAGGCACTATCAATAAAACTGATCGCGAGTGCTGCCCTAAGAAGGTGGGCAGGAGGGGTGGTGGGGGTGGATGGAGACAGAAAATAAACGATGTGTCTAATAAACAAGGAAATTGTTGGAAGATGATAAGTGCAATGTAAACAAGAAAACTTAGAGCAGAGAAAGGAGCATGAGAGTGCTGCTGTGTACATCTGAGGGGCAATATATTTTTTGGGGGGAAAGATTGCATCATTGAGGAAGTGACATTTGAGCAAGGACATGAGGAGTTATCCAAGGAGCTGTCTGGTGAAGGGGACAGAGCTAGAAGAAAGGTCCTGGAGTAGGGGTGCGCCTGGAGTGTTTGAGAAACAGCCTGGAGACCCTGTGGCTGGACCAGAGGGATCTGGGGAGAGCAGAGCAGCAGGGTAGGGCCACGTCATGTAGGGGCAGGGCATGCTTCTGCAGGCCTTCGCTTTACCCTGGGGTCTGGGTGGGTGTGAAATTCCAAGGCTTCAGGCAGAGGGATGCTCATAATCTACCTTTAGTGCTGGTTTCCACTGTGACCAATGACATGGATTTGCAGAACAGGAGGGTTGTAAATCAGGATAGCATTTGGGATTAGAGAATAGAACCAAGCTAACTGTCTCTCAAAGAATTAAACTCTGAGGTACCACAGGTTCATTTGGTCATTTAAGGCAAGATAGCAGGCATTTATCACTTCCTAATTCTTCCCCAGCTTAAGTTACCTGTATCTTTTATTTTAGTCCTACGCACGCCTGACAGTGCAGTTGTCTGAGAGAGAAAGGGCACATTCAGTAATTCAAAGACATTGATTCACTGCCGAATTCTCATACAGCTACAACTGTCCGTATCTTTTCTTATTAGCCCAAAGCACAACTGAACAGGATTCCCTGACTATTTAACTGCCTAGAAGAGAGATCTTTCTCAAAGCTAACTTTTATAAATGGAAGACGTGAGTTCCAAGTACGTAGAACAAAAACATTCTGAGAAACTAATATGCTTTCTTCCCAGTAACTGAGCCATTCCCTTTTCTCTACCCTCTTGGGGCCAGAAGACAGCAGTGAGATTTTCGTTGGGGTTGGGGGTGGGGGGGAGTTGGACCAATCTGTGCTCAAATCTCATCATAAAGCTAGAAGGTAGCAAGGCATTTGAGGTCAACAGATCTAGGTTCACTTAAACGATGTGCCCTGTCTGTTTCCTTCTCTTGCGAAAGAGAAGCAATAACAGTGCCCAGTGTTGTTGTCAGGATTGAGTTAATAAATGTGAAAGTTTTGTAAATTCTAAGGCACCATCGAGACACAAAATGTAGTAGTTATTTATATTTTATTTTTGCAAATAAAACACCAGAGGCCACATGATCCACTTTCCTGACTGCTGATTTCTTCCCATATCCACGTGGCTTTCCTTCTCTTACTAGCTCTCAGGTTTGCTTCCACATTCTTCAGTTGCCTTATTTTCAGTTCAGGCTCTCTTTCAGCCTGGAAGTTACCCTGCTTTCTATAAGCTCACAAAGAAAGTAGAGTGCAGTGTGGAAGCACCAAGGCTCAGGGAGAGAAGACCTGGGTTTGGAACTTAGTTCTACCACCTGTTAGCTGTGTGTCTTGGCTACATGACTTCACATCTTGGAAGCCATAGTTAAGACGCAGATAAATATATACCAGATGGTTCTGAGGATTAAATGAGAAAAACATTTGTAAAGCATCTTGCCCAGTGTCTACCCCATGATGTGAGCCTAGTAAAGGTTACATCCAATTTTTCTCCTTTTTTATGAGGTACAGAATTCCAAAGAGACTCCACAAGATGTGGGAAGCACTGAGGCACGTTAGGAGCAATGAGACAGCGAATTCACTGGAGGAAGGAGACGAAACGGGAGGATAAAGGGAGCTAGTTAGAAGGAAAAACTTGGGGGAAGAGAAAATGAGTAGATGATGAGGGAAAGGAAGAGTCATCTCTGTGAGATAAGAGTCAGCTCTCCTTCCACAGCCCACGAGAGTCCATGGAATTCTACCAGAGAACAGCCTGCCAATCCAGCCCTTCTAAAAATAACCTTTTTTTAAATAAAAAAGAATATTCATATCTTTCTTCTCCAAAACAATTTTTTTACAGACTCACACCATTAGAGACACTAATTTTTTTCTTTGCATAGTCAGTTTTTATTTATCCTCATATCTTAAAATACTTTGCCCAAATCTTAGTTGACAAAGAGAATCACAGTTCTGTGGTGGAGTTTCAAGGCTTCTGTTATAATTAGCAAAGTTGATATGGAATGTCAAGTTCCTGAGCAGGGATCCCTAGGCGTTCTTCTCTTGGAGAAATGTAAGTCTTCCTTACTCTTCTCAAAGTCACGATATTGTCATTTTTTTTAAAGAGTTTTTTCCTGACTGTGTAATCTAGGTTAACTCTAACTTCTTCCTTTTTTTCCCTCTTGTGTAGGCAAGCTTTAAAAATCTTACTTTTATCTTTGGAAGGACTGCATTAGCTAACATTTGATTTCTTAGTTCACAACATCAAGAGTATGTTGAGCATTTTGAGCTCAACCTGTGTGCCTAGTTAGTTGGTTGGAGGTAAAAATTTCATTTGAATCATTGTTAGACCTTGATTTTTGCTTTTATTACATTCATTTCTTTTAGGTCCCAGATTTATTTCCTTAGTCACAGAAGTTATTTATTATTGAGATGCTGAGAAATAATAGACATTGTGGATGTGGCAGTCAGAGAGCAATGCTAGGAAAGTAGTTATTCAAATGGGTAGATCAAAATAAGTTTGCTGGGTTAAAGAAAATTTCATCATCCTGTATGAGAGAAAAAAAGTCATCACATTCTTCTTCCCACTTTCCCATTGATTTTAAACTTTACCTTTGTAGAAAGGGCCGTCATCCGACTTTCACTCTTTAAAATTTAACAATGTTTGCCAGGTTAAAATATTAAACAACAAATGAAATGAAAAGGGCATGTTTATATTGCCCTCAAATCCCCCCCGATTCATTCCCAGTCTGAGGGACAAGAGATTCATTTGGTGGAATGATTCCCTGGATAGGTAAAGACATGGGCAAGCTTCGCATCTGTTCATTCTCCAAAGCCATTTTCAAGCAAAAACCAGTTCATGGTTGCACAACACAGAATCTCAGCGTGTAACTCTACTCACCTAGATCGGGCTGTATGCCTTAATGGGGGAGGCGGATAAATCTAGAGAGCCACAGTAACAGTGAGTGCCCCTCAGCATGGGGAGATAGGATGCAGGGAGAAGCAGTTTACCTAGTAGGGTCACGATGCACAGTAGGATGGCAATCAGAGCCCCCGTGCTCAGTCCCGTGGGGTGGACGAGGGCCTCCGCATGGCAGGACTGCATGTTCCCGTGGTGGTCGCATGCACAGACCCGGACAGTCACTGTCCCAGTGCTGCTTTGGACTGGGTAGTCGTTGTCTGAAATGACCACAGGCAGGAGATAGGTGCTCATCTCGTGTCTATTATAGCCATTTTTCCGAGTTAGGATTCCCGCTGTGTTGTCTGAAACGAGAAAGCAAAGTGGTGAATGTATGTGGATACATTCATGAACTGGATCAATCGTGGTAGGAATAGATAGGTAGAGATACAGATATAAATATCCAGACGGAGAGGGTAACTTGGGCTCATTTACCTTTGTTGTCTTGAATGGTAAAGTTTGAGCCACTGGCTGCTTCGGGGGCCAAAGAGAATGAGAACTGGTGCCCGCTGTAAGGGTCATCCTTGTCAACAGCTCGTAGGGTCTGAATCAACTAAAATCAAAACCATAAAGTGTTTCTTACAGTTTTGCAGTAAATTGCTTGACTAAATGATTTCTAATCGCAATTTTAAAATGACAACCTCTAGAAAATTTATATGGAATCCACACCACGTAAACAATTGATGGAATGGAAGTGGAGCAAGGGGTGCTCCTTTCTTGTGGGGCTGTCCTGTGCACTGTGGGATGTTTAGCAGCAAGCCAAGCATCCTCCCACTAGATACCAGTAACACCCTCCTTGTGACAATCAGCAATGTCCCCAGCCATTGCCAAATGTCCCCTGGGAGGCAACATCACCCTAATTGAGAAACACTGCCCTAGAGTGGTACAAAGCTATAAAATATCACAATGATCTATGACAACATTGCAAGTGAAGAAAATGGGGGCATTCTTTGGACAGCCTGTTTAGAAATGCAATCTTGGCATATTCATAAGCCATCAACTTGCAAAAAAACTGAAGAGAAAATTTGTATGTGAAACACGTAACTTGAGCTTCCCACTTTAACATGTATTTTAACAGTGCACTTCTGTTTTGACAAACTGTAACATAATTTTTATATCCTTGGCAGAAAAGACCTATTTCAGGTGGGAACAAATGTGTAAAACAGTAAAACATTCATGAATTTGTATTACTTGTACAGATGGGCAGTGTAAGTAAGTGCAACTATGAATTATAGGCAGTAGTAAAATATGGTATAGATATACTTTCCGGTATATATGGTAATTAAAGTTATCTGCTCACCAATAAAGATTTTTCCAATAAAGTTGTGACTAATCTATTCTAATGAAAACTTAAGACTGATTTGGAATCAGCATGAGTCTTTGAGGCTGATGAACTTCCAGTTCTTAAAAACTGTTTGTTCTCTTATGCAAGTTATACATCCATCCTGGTTCTTATTTATAGTATTAATTTTGTGATCATCCACCTCATAGATAATTCAAAACTAGCCCTCAGCTCTATATATCATCTGAATTATTAGAAGACCTAAATTAATCTGATGAAATTAGTTTACTTTCTTATGAAACTCACTTGATCTGCTTTTGCTTTCTCACAGACAAAAGTTTCATAGAATTCAGCAAATTCTGGGGCGTTGTCATTGACATCCAGAACTTTAATATATAGAGGTACTCGGCTGCTTTGCTTTGGATTATCTGCAACATGCCAAAAAGAAAGGAATAGGCATTTATATGTTCATCACCAATGCCCTTTAGACAATAATCACACACACCTTCTTTCTCATTCATACACAGATTCCCCGAATCTGCTGTGAGTTCCGCAGGGCATTATGTACCAACGTCGTCACAAAAAAGTAGAATTAGATCATGCGATACTTCTGGAGTTGGATACACCCAATGGAAATAGCTAGGAGACAAAGCTACTTGTGTTGATACAGTGCAGCTGCATAATAAACCCAAGAGTCACACAAAATAAAGAAAAGCTGTCTAGGAAAGGCATTTTAGAGGCAGATTTTAAAGGAAGCCAAGGAAGGAGGTAGATGGGAAAAATTTGGACACAAGGAAGAAGGGGAGGAAATGAAGGAGACCAAATGGTTGTTACTGGTCTTAGTTTTCTAGCCTGAGTGCTGAACAAGAGCTGGATACTGTGCTAAGCACTTTGCTATATTATCTGATTTCATCCTTAGAAACTTCTGAGGTAGATACAGTTGTTGCCCCCATTGTATAGATCAGGAAACTGAGGCACATATAAATTGGGTCATCTGTCCATGTTCATAGAGATAGTAAGAAGCAAGTAAGTAAGAGATAGTAAGAACCTATATTCAAACTTGAGTCTGTCTGACTCCAAAGCCCAGGCAGTTCACCCAGAAGAATGATGGAGCAGCATCAAGGTTTGAAGACCTGAGATAACTGAAGTATTTTGGTGGCCTTCTGTGGGAATCTCCTGGATTGTGTGGAAGACAGGTTCCTGGCCTAAGAATCAGGAATTGGAATCTCTCATCTCAGCTCTCTTCACTCACATGTCTATTCATTTGTTCACTTGATCAATATTTAGTGAGACTCTAATACCTAATACATGCCAGTTACTATTTGGGGTGCTGGGACATATGGGAAACATAACAAAGATCCTGCTTCCTGGCACTAGACAAACTGTAAACACATAAATATATAATGTGTCAGATGGTAAATGCGAGGGAGAAATTAAACAGGAAAAAGGGATTGGAGAGAGATGGAGGTGCTACTGTGAATGGGATGACCGGGGATGGCTTCTCTGATGAGATGTCACTTGTTCAGAGACATGAATGGAGAGAAAGATTAAGCCATATGAATATTTCTGGCTCTCCAGATAGAGGAAACAGCAAGTGCAAAGGCCCTGGGGTAGGAGAGAGCTGGTTTTGTACAAGCTCTTGGCTTCTGTTATATCAAAGGTAGTTAAGAAATTTGGACAATAAGATTCTTAAGCTCTCTTGCATCTACAATTTTGCTCACATTATTTTTTCAAAGTCAGAGCTGCTGAAGTTTTAAAAGGTCTTTATCATTAGTACTTTCAAATATATCACAGAAACATTAAATCTTAAGAACAGAAATTTTTACACACAAAGCTTAAAATACACATGAAATGACTACTTCAGCAAAATTATTTCATGACGTAATAAAAATGGCCCTATTCAGTGGGCAATAATTCTGTAATTTTAAAGCTTTAAGTATGCTCTGCACTGGTATCCACATAGATTCTGAAAAGCAAATTCCTACCTAGAAAATTTATAATGAGGGGTTCTTATCACTATCAAAACACAGCGTTTCATTTTGCCCGTATTGGTTATTTATCATTCTACTCAATGTCCTTCAGCCACTTCAAATCTCATGAGTTATGTTGACAAAGAATACTACTGTAATGTACCATTTGATATGGAGTGTTTCACACTAGATCCCCAACTGAGTAAAAATATCTAAACTTTTAAAATCAAAAACTAAAACTAAAAAATGAGCTATAATTTAGGTGCCTTTTTTTAAACATTTAAATGTTATTTTACAGATCCTTTTTCTTTTATGTACTTAGGTCTACACATTGTGTTTACATTACACAGTTTTCACTGTGTATAATCATTTTATTTGAAGCATTCTTTTGGCACTGTTTTTCTTCGCCTTAAATTTTGTGGGGACTGCCATAAAATTCATTCTAAACATTTTATGGATTACTTGGTGGTTTGTATTGCTCACTTTGGTGCATGGAAGAGTTAAAATGTATCTCTCTTAATTCTGTAATGATTTTGAAATAGAAATTCTATAGAAAGTGAGAGGATGAATATCCAAAATATTTTAAAGGATGCCTTCATTTTTGAATATACTCGATTCCCCTCCCCCCAATTCTAACGGGAGCCCATTTTTTTCAGCTGATTCTGTAACGTTCTGATTTATAAGCTTTTTGGAATCAAATCCAACATGTACCAATTTAATTTCATTGGAGAGATGCATTCCCATTTTGTTGTTTCCAAACTGAGGAACTCCCACAGTTGCCTCTGCATTTGTGAATAAACCAACACATGTCTAGAAGAAACATTACCGCGAATCGTTACAGGGCTCTTTCCCTCAACATATATCGAGCACGATCATCAATACACGGTGACGAACTTCAGCCGTGCCTCCCCAGCCCTTGCTGGGACACTGTCACTCGGGGGCAACAGTGGTATGAGGTTGTACTTACTGATCTCTGTTGCTATCACTGTGATGTTGTGCCATAGCAATGTTTCGCGGTCAAGAAGTTTCGACGTAAAAATTGAACCATTTCCAGAATCAATGTTGAAGATCCTGTCCATATCTGTGTGTCGATCGACAGAATACCTGAAAATGCAGACTGGAATTTTAAAAGGTTTTCTTGGTATTTGCTGTTCTCACATCCTAAAACCATTCCAGGAATATCTGTTCCATGAACTTTTTTCTACCTGTCGCACATATTTGAATATCCCTAACATTAAGCAAAATATTCTGAGAAATCAGTTCTTTACAATTGAGATCTTAATAGTAAACCCATTAGACAAGTTGCATGATTTTGAGTAATTTGGACCAAGTTTGTGTAGTAATTGCTGTAATTTAACTCAAGCTTTTAGAATCTCAGAACTTTAATGTGTGTGTACATAGGAGGATTATTGGCTATTTTTCTATTATCCATTTTGTTTTTAAAATTGTTATGTTGAAAGAAGCAGAAGATGGCTAGAGTGGCTGAGGTTAGTGAGGCAGAAGTGGGGGTAGGACATGAGCTTGGGGACACAGCCACAGTCTGGACGGTAGAAGGGCAGGCTGGCTGTGGGAAGGAGGTGGGATTTATTCTAAGCACAATGTGAATCTACCAATGGGTTTTAAGCAAGGGACTGTCACAAGCCAAATCATGTTTAACAAAGATCACTGGTTGAATTGAGGAGAAGGGTTGGATGGTGCTGACACAAACTGATAGAAGAGGAGTGAAGAACAGGATTTGGGGAAGATCATAAGTTTCAGTTTTATGTTGAGGCTGAGAAAAGTCCCGGAAGAGATATCTAGTGTGAAGGTCAAGGCAAAGAGCCGGACTAACAACCTAGATTCCCTATTCAACTGTCTAGGAAGAGCATGTTCAGCGAAGGGAGAAAAACGCTAAGGACAGAATCAATTAAAGGATGAACAAGACAGTAGAAACGCGCAGGGACTAGGACAAATGCCCAGAACAGAGTAGGAACTTAATAAATATTTAAGGAGAGTTTAGAAAATTCAAAGAAAACCAAGCGTGCCACCTTAGAAACCAAAGAAGGAGTCTTCAATACTAAAATTAATGGAAGACTAGTAGATTTTGAGAAATGTTGTCTTCTTTATACATTTATTACTAGTTTTTGGAAAAGCTACATAAAGGGCTAAGTATGTGTACACTCTGTTGTATGGGGGGAGCATTAAAGAGAACATTCAGAAGAAAGTTGATATGTTAAGGCCATTGGGAACAAAAAATTGTCCATTTCAGCTTGATTCTCAAAATTTATATCATGGTTGGAGATTTAAAAACGTCAGCTCAGTAGAAATACAATTGAAGTAAATGACTTAACTAGTCATACACATGTGGAATTATTATGAATGCTCTAAGAAAAATCAACCCGTTACTAAGTTGCAATAGTGTATCATGTCCGAGATTATATTTCAATTAATAATTTTGTTTTAAAATGTAACTAGTGAATTATAATAAACAGTATATCTTATCTTAATAAAATCTATCTTTTTATCTAGCAGGAGATCTGTATAAAATAGATATTCCATTATTATAGGCCATTTAAGCCTGATTTTAAAGAGAATTAATGAAGTTCACAATGGATATCTATCTATCCTTCTATCTGTAAAGTTGAGTTAGAATTTTAGTTTCAATTTATATAAACCTAATGTTTTACTATCAAAATGATTGAAACAGATGAAACAACTAATGTTTTTGCCATTTATGCATCAAAATTTATTAAGAATTTAGCCCTAAGAGTTTTCATTACAGAAAAAACCATTTTTTTTTTGGCATCTGTATGAGATGATGAATGTTAACTAAACTTATTATGCTAATAATTTCACAATATATGCAGGTGAAGTCATTATGCTGTACACCTTAAACTTATACAGGGATACAAGTCAATTATTAAAAAAAAAGAATTTTAGTCAACAGCACTGAACTTACTTGATTACCTTTCTTCATTTTTAATTTGAGAAAGATAAATAATTATAGCATATAAGTAATTACCCAAAGGAAATCTCAATATCCATAGACTTTGTAAGAAATGTAATAATTATCTACAAATATATTTTTCCCTCATGAAAAATGTCAACATTAAGACACGCTACTTACTGCCTTTACAAGCTGTTACAATTATATACAGCGTTCATCTTTTCTTGTTCTTTGTCCCTTTTTTCCATGCTATAGTTTTAAGTTTTACATGTCATCATATTTTCCCATCAAGCCTCGAAATAAAGGGTATGGAGTGAGGAATTTTTAGTTGAAGGTAACTTTCAATTTTAGAGAGAAAATAACTATTTAGGAAATACCAAAATTGTATATATTTTTTTCTTTAATTGGGAGGTTTAAAAATTAATAGAGTACCTAAAATGTCAACATTCTTTAGGACGAATGCTTGCACACAAAAGCTTATTTATTGTTTTTCTTTCCAAAGTATTTCAATTTATATCCAGGATATTTGCCATCCAGTCTCATTAACTGCAATCATATCTGATAAGGAACAAGGTAATCAATCCCACCATGATTGTGGCAGATCGTTCTGCTAGGTAGCTCGCTCTTTGTTTTTTTCTAGAACTTTACTGTATTCTTTGACTCAACAATTTGTCTTCTAATGTATCCTCAAGTCAGGAAGATTTGTGGGTTAGGAAAGGAAGTGTGTTTGCATGTAAATTTTTCATAATATGTATTCACAGTGATATTTTATAAGACTCTTTCATGGAAATCAAAGGTTATTTGTGATAACGTAATAATGATTGGAACAAAATTATTTTATGTGATTAAAGAGTTAAAGACTTGTGCCTGCGTCATGATATATCAATGTTTGGGGGAAGAATTCTCTAGTATTAATTGTGCATCTCACATATTGTCTAGCACCTAGTTGTTTATTATTTATGTCTTGAATAACCAAAAACTGTGTTTGGATGTACTTTTCTAACATAAAAATCAATTTTATCCTATGAAAGAAATTACCAGAACATGCATTTATATACCAATGTATCTATGTGTACTACTTTTCTTTAATCTATATCTATAGCTCAAATCTGTATGTACCAAGGCAGGGCTAGAAGAAAAAACTTCAAAGTTAGATGACAGCAAACCCAGCCTGACAAACTAACTACTTTCTTTCATTAAAACATAAAAGAGCACAGTGCGTAAAAATCTGTTCAGTATAAAAAGAAAAATAGATATAAAAATGCCACCTAAATTCTCAGAAGACATTATCTCTTTCGATCACAACCATGTTGAGGGGCTGGCCCTGTGGCCTAGTGGTTAAGTTCCGTGGACTCTGCTTGGACAGCCTGTGTCACGGACCTACACCACTCGGCAGCCGTGCTATGGTGGCAACCCACATACAAAATAGAGGAAGATTGGCAACAGACGTTAGCTCATGGCTAATCTTCCTCAGCAAACAACAACAACAAAAACATGTTCACTTATCAAAGAGGTAACCAGAGCTCATATTTGTAAACTTCCAGCATTAATACTTTTAAATTGGTCTTGACATTGACTTGCTAAGATATTTTTCTTACACAGTTGGATAACAAACTCCAAGTGCTAGAATAGTTGTGAAAGTACTTAAAATTATTTGTGTTATACAAGCAAAGGCCATCATTCATTTCCCTTATTAATATTCTATGTATATGGGGGAACACTTGACCTGTGGAGCTCACATGTGTCTACTGTGGGTTGACTATAGTCCAATTCAGGATGTCTACAGATAGTCCAGTAGAATGATAACACAACAGAGACTATTTTCCCAATGATTTAAAATTATTCTCTGAAAGTAAGCCAGGCATTTTTGTATTTCAGATGTGGGACTTGCCATATGGTTTCATTTGAACAAGAGGCTCAGTGGCTGAAAAGTTAGAAAGTGACCCCCTTAGAGCCGCAGACTCTTTTATCTGAAACAACAGTCTTCACCCAGCAGCCAGCGTGATCCTTTTAAAGAGTAGTTTTGGATTAGATAATGCTTCTACTCAAAGCTCTCCAGTGGCTTCTTACCTCAATCAGAATAAAACCCCATCTTGACTAGGGCCTACAAACTCCAGTGGAACCTGCCACACTCACCACCTATCAGAGCCCCCCTCTGTTGCCTCTACCTTACCACTCTCCACCTCGCTCACTCTCTTCTAGCTATATAGGCCTCCTTGTCACTCTTTTTTATTTTTGAGGAAGATTAGCCCTGAGCTAACATCTGCTGCCAATCCTCCTCTCTTTTTCTTTTTTGCTGAGGAAGACTGGCCAAGGAGCTAACATCTGTGCCCATCTTCCTCTACTTTATATGTGGGATGCCTACTACAGCATGGCTTGCCAAGCAGTGCCATGTCTGCACCTGGGATCCAAACTGGCGAACCCCGGGCCACTGAAGTGGAATGTGTACACTTAACCGTTGTGCTGCCGGGCCAGCCCCTCCTTGTTACTTCTTTTATATGCCACACAAGTGCTGGTATCAGACCTTACCCTCGCTTTTCCCTCTTCTTGGAATGTTCTTCCCCCAGCTATCAGCATGGTTCATCCCTTCATTTCATTCAAATGTTTACTCAGATGATTTCCCGCCAAAGCCAAGCCAGACCACGCTATCTAAAATAGTACCCCAGAGACACTTTATTTCCATACTCTGTCTTATTTTACTGCTTACAATTTATTTTCATCTGACATATTACATATTTATTGCTTGCCTATTTCTATCCACCCCAATTAGAATGTAAGTTCCACGAGACCAGGACTTGGTATTGTGTTCTGTTGACTCCCTAATGCCTAGAACGTGATTGGCACAGAGCAAAGACCCTGATCGGAATATATTGTGGACTCACTGGCAAGAATTCCTCTAGCTTCTCAGTCTGCTTACTTTCTTTCTGGGGAGTAATTTACACAATGATATTCTGGTTTAGCCCTCTTCTCATCTAGTCAACAAAGCTACTGGCTAAAAGCTGGAGGTTAGTTTCCTCCAGTGTCTTTGTGATAAGATTCTAGAATACTGAAGGATCAGTGGTCTCAAAGAGCAATGAGGCTTCCTTGCAACATGATTTACAACTAAGGTGGAAGGAAAGTGCAGGTAAAATAGAGCTTACTTATATAGGTTAAATTTAGATTCAGCTCTATTAATTTTCCCAAGATTTCACAGACATGTATCATGAAATGGTTCTTGTTTTTATTCATGTCTGTGAAAGAAAAAAAATTATGCATCCAAATGGAGCATAATTCTGTCTCTAAGTGTTGCATGATGGGTTCTTCCACATTTGAAAACAGACTCTCAAGCCCAGTGCCTTGTTTGTTAAAAATCACAATGCTTTCTCCATGCCACTCTTTGACAAATATAAGACCTTAAAAGAAAAAAAATCTCAGGCCATTCAGCTGCGTTACCTTATCTGACGTCTAAGTAAGCAGTAAACTCCTTATAGCTCATTTTATGTTTTGTCTCCTCCAATTTTGTGTTTTTTAGGTTTATGCTGCTGCTAAAATAATATTTACGTTGAGCAAGGAGAGTGAAGGTGCTATTTGGAGCAGTTTTTCGCGAAGACACAATTGTCTAATTAGAGAAAAAGGATCCATCTTTTCGAACTTGCAGGCATATATTTGAATATAAATCGATTGACACTTATGAAAGAGACATGTCACAGAAGTATGCTTACTTGACAGGATTCCTGGCAGCATCTGGATCTTGCGCTGAGACCGAGCCTATCGTCGTGTTTATCTGAGCATCTTCTCTTATTTGTAGGATGTAGGCCAGTTTGCTGAAGATGGGGGGCTCATCGACATCTTCCACCATGATTCTAACTGTGGCGGAATCTTTGAATGGACCCAGGTAGAGAAAGCGGGGTTCAACGTGAGGGTTGGAGGCTTCCACTTTGAGGGTGTACACTTTCTTCTTTTCAAAGTCCAAGAGCTTGGGAGGTGGGGAGAAGGGACATATTTATAGCAGCCAAGACACGAATCATTTTTAGTGCAAATCACTGAAAAATGAATGCGATCATATGTCCTAGACACATCTCTACACAGTGTGATATTGGGTAATGGCATGGGAGTTCAGAGGCCACACAATCCTGCTGAAAGTGTGGGCTGAAACAGTGTCCGCTGTTGCCTTAAAAGTGGGTGTAGGGGTTCAAGGTATAATGGGCAGGAAAGGGGACCTGGAAGCAGGAGTCTGTTAAACCCTCTTTTAAAAAAAATCCTTATACTTGACTAGAGGAAACCATGTTAGGGGCAAGTTGGCAAATATGCAGTAGATTATTCTGTGTCAGATGTCACATTTGACTTTAATTAAACACCTAATGAGTGTTTCAGATTTGCCAATATCAGGGCCCCACACTGGACCATTAAACTCATTAAACCCAAATACCCGTCATGGGGATGGGAATCTAGACTTTTTTTTTTTTTTTTTTTTGCTGAGGAAGATTTGCCTGAGCTAACATCTGTGCCAATCTTCCTCTATTTTGCATGTGGGTCACCGCCAAAGCATGGCAACCAACAAGTAGTGTAGGTCCGTGCCCAGAAACTGAACCCAGGCCACCCAAGTGGAGCACTCTGAACTTAACCATTAGGCCATGGGGCCAGCCCTGGGAATCTATACTTTTAAACACTTCCCCTAGCAAGTCTAATGTGCAGCTAGAATTGAGAAGCATGGGTTTGCATCATGATTCCCTCATCCTCATTCAGATGAAATAGATTAAAAATGTTTTTTTTGGTATGAAGTGATAAAATATTCCAAGTGATGGCCTGATAAGGGCATTGGGCTAATTACTTGCCAAAGAAAGTAACGATCATTGTTGTCAGAGGTCTTTAGGGAAAGCATCTCTGTTTCTGGAGACGGAGTGAACCCAAATGCTTATTGCTGACTTTCAGTTTTAGATGCTAATATGACAAGGCTCACTAGAAACACAATTAATCAAGATGTTAGTGAATGTGATTTAGTCGGCTAGGCAAAATTTCAGTTTGAATCTGATAAGGCACCAAGAAAATTAAAGAGGTTAATGCACACTAATAGGCTTCCTAATTATGTTATAGGATAAAACATTGGTCTGAGTGTCACTTAAACATGTTTTATTATGTTTGCAGATATTAAGACATGTAATCCGAAGCTTAAGAGGAAAAAATTTTCTTGCTCTTTATGTCCACCTCTGCTTATATTTACCAGCAGATAGAAGAGTGTGGCAAAGGAGAGAGAAGATATGACACCATACATGATAAAAGTGAAATCATTAAAAAAGTAACCAAGGTTAATATTACTTTTCACTTTGAAGCACATAGTTTATTGGTTTTACATTTTTGCCACACTTTTGCATACTGCTCCAGGGTGCTGGAGAATTTTGGGGGGTAAATAGTGAGTAAGTACATAGGGGAAAAATAGGAATTCAGTATATAAAAAATTTATTGTGTTCTGAAAAGTAACTAAAAAGCTTGCAGGAAATTTGTGTCACTTAGTTTATTTTTGTGGTCTTTCTATCTCCTCTCTCTCTAATTCAGGTCATCTTTATCACTGCTGTATTGCTATTTTCCTTCAAAGCATGAGTCAGAATTTGTAGTTATATGCGTTTGTTTATTGACTTCCTTGTCTCTTTTCTCCCCACATTGGAAGTTCCCTGAGAGCAGAGATCTTGGTGTTGAACGCACTGTTTTACAGCCAGCATCTAACACAGCGTCTGGCACTGTTTTTTAATTTATTGTTCATTTATGTTATTTACTTATGTACTTTTTTGTATATCAGTTGTTCGTATTATTTATTTACTTAGGAGGTTCTCAATGAAAGTTTATTGAAAGTATGGAATTGATGAATGCATCAGATTATTGAGGACCCCTAAAAGGCAACCAAAGAAATCTGAATGTAATTATACTTGGCGTTTAAAAGAAATAATTAGTAAAATAAGAATCTAGAGGAATGTTCATGTGAGATGTAACTGCCCCCAGATACTTGGGGACCAGAGAAAAGTAAATGCATCCATTTGTATGATATTAATAAATGGCATTACCTTTTTGACAGTTATAATCCCTTCCTGGGTTTCCTGGTCGGTGATGACATCAAACATGTCCAGCCCCTCTCCCTCTGTGATGCTGTACTCAATTGCAGCGTTTTCTCCCACGTCGGCGTCGCTGGCTTTGATCCTGCCAATTGGTGTACCCGGTGGAGAAGATTCAGGGGTTTTAAACTGGTAGGTACCTGTTAATCACCAGACAGAGATAAGTCAGACACAGGCTAAGTATATGCCATCATAATAAAAACAAAACCTATTTTCTAACAGTTCTTTCAGACATTACCACAGATGCCAGCAGATTTGTGCTTTCTTCAAAGTAATTAATGGCACCCTATTCTGCTTACATCTTGACTTTCATTACTGTTAAGAATATTTCTTCTATTTCATGACCTGTCTCTTTGCAAATGGAGAACACTTTTCTTGTCCTGGAAATAGGCTTCCAAGTTTATAGTGTGACTGAGAGACCGAACTGTTAGAGGAGGGCGCAGATTTCCAAGCCCCCTCCTAACGTAATCTAGCCGAAAGAACAGAAAAAGAGTGTAACCTGAACTGTGACTTCATGCCAATGGCTAGATTTTCTTTAAAAGAGTTCTTTCTGTCATTGCTAATGATAACTGAAGGTGAAAATGAATTACAGCAATTTGGAGAAAGTATCTAAGCAGACATTCTTTCACTGGTACGTGGAGCTGGTCTGGTTGCAGTGAGGAATATAGATAAATACATTGAGAAAGAAAGCTCTTAATTTTTTTTCTGACTGATTTTTCTTTAGAATTTTGTTACAGTATTTTTCTATGTATAGATGTCTTTCATTCTTGCATTTATATTACTAATTGAAAACCTATATTTCATACATAGATACTTTTCTTATGTGCCTGTGTCACAAAATTAGCTTAAGGAAACTACATGTGAGTTTCAACTTAGATCTGCCAGGCCAGCATGGACTTAGGACCAAAAGATAAAATAATAAACACAAAACTTATTCTACTCTCATCCATTACATTTTGCCAACCACTCATGCAAATTGTTTTGGAAAAAATTCAGACTACAACACCACTAAAATATAGTTGTTCAATAATCCTAACCCACTAAATATTGGGCTCATCCTTGGTAAAATGATAAAAGAGGCCAAGTTTTTCTCTAGAGGTAGTCTCCCCTCTCTTGCCTTGATATGTTATTCAGTAAAGATCACAGGCTATCCGCGGAGAGGGCAGTGAGGTATGGTCCCCCTTCTATCAGGGTGCGAGTGAATTCAATGTCATCCCCATATTGAAAAGGACGTTTTTGGGCAAAGTCTTGGTGGTGGTCCTGATCTTTTCATTTCATGCTTCTGTGGGGGAAATTTTTGGGGTTCAAAAACCCTTTCTTCTACCCTTTAAATCAGAAATTAGTTAGCTGTTCTGTTAATGTTTTGCATTTAGATAACTGTGATTAAATATTTGAAAAAAGTAAAGAAAATAAAACTCTTTCCTATTGACCCATGTGTATCTCCATTATGAAAGAAGCCCATAGTAGCTGACCAGCTTTAGAAAAAGGCCATGACTGAGTAAGTGGGTTTTCTATTTAATGATGGGCAGTTATTCTCTCCTGGAAGACAGAATTGAGTATTCTTAGGATCATGGTCAGAAAAGAATTTTGTTCCTGGAAGAAAAATTACATTAAAACCGGTAGCCTCTTGAGGTGCTCTGTGAAATGGTCTAGGGTGCAGCTCAATACAAAATGGGCCTTTAAGAACGTTGTTTTTCCTTCTTCTTCCTTCCTATCCAATCATGAGAGTTAATGATTTTAGAGATATCTTTTGGTATCTCAATTAACTGTAATGTAGAAAACTATTTATGATTACAAATGGATTAAGTACGTGGTTATTTCCACAGTTGTATTTTTAGAAACATTAAAATGATAAATCCTCCCCTTACAAAGCTTCGTGAGGATTTAAAAGCGATTACATGCTTGATTAAATTCACAAAACTAAAGTCAAATTGTTCCTAACAAATAGCAGCATGCCTGATACGTATGTTCTGCACAAGCAAATTTATGTCTGGGGTAGTATTTTTAATAAGGAAAAATAAAACAATGATGTTGTCCTTATAACAACAGTCATATCAGACATTGCTCAGCTAATTACCAATACAGGAACATAAATGTTCACATCTACTGAGCATAAGCATTGTCAACTCATTTTTAATAAAGTGCTGGTTATTATAAGTGCACTAATTTTGACGATAATGGAAAATAAATGTTGTTCTTAAAGTTAGGGTTTTACGAAAGCACACTGCAGAAACCATTCAATCAAATGTTCCTACTCTGGGGAAACCGGGGAGGATTGTCGTTGACGTCAGTCAGAGTGATGTTCACTGTGGTGGTCCCAGACAATCCCCCCATCTGGCCGCCCATGTCCTTGGCTTGAATCACCACTTGGTACTGCTCCCTGTTTTCTCGATCCATGTTGAGCAAAGCTGTCTTGATGATACCTATGGATATGAAATTCAGAATGCAAAGCGGGGCATTAAAAATACTTTATGGAATCATTTATTTATGCAAACATAGATTGTCACCCACAGTATGCAATGTCATTTTTATGTACAGCCTTTATACTGAAGGAAATTACAACCATGGTGGGGAGATAGAAACATTGAAAAAAACACCTATAATACAAGGAGAATGAGAATAAGTACAAGTCAAATCCTGCGATAGTACAGACTGTAAGTAGTATAAATATTACGTGTTTTAAGATGACACAGCAAAATATAACTTGGCATGTGGTACAATGCTAAACTACTTTAGCTGCTTGATAAAAGACATTTAGGTATATTATGAGGAAATTGTGAAGAAAGCCATATGCTTGAACTGACTCTTGAGTTTCACTTTACTGAATTGGCTAATTGCTCAGCAAATATACCAACCATAACGAATGTTCTGAGGATTTTTAAACCACAAAACTATGATCTTAAGAAAACACAGCATCAGTTCTCTCGTAATTGTCGTCTTATATGATCCTAGAGAATTTAAGTTTTCCTAAAGCTGATGTGAACATTAGTTGAACTGGTCCAGCAGTGACCAACGCTCTTAGCTTAAATTTATCTCTATTGTTAGGTAGTTATAAAAGAATCAGTTGACAGAACTTCTAAAAGTTTGCCTAATCTCTATGTAGGGTTTATGCTTAAATTAAAAACATGCCTTCAAAAATCACTGGAGAAGGCTTTAGAACCTTCTCTGGTAGCACATTCAGTGCTTAACAACTAATGAAGCTGAATCTTTTTTTAAATTTTTAACAAGAAGACCTCAGACAACAGGTCATTTTTATTCCTCTAGCCCTGGCTTCAGTGAAAGTGCAGCTGCTTTCTGTTCTCCAAATACCAGTACTTCTCTGTTTAAACACAGGAGACCACCTTAGCCTTTTGTCCTTTAAGTTGAATAATTCTAATTTTCTATCCTCATTGTTTTTCAACTTAACATTTTCTTTCCCCTTGAGATTCTTTCTAAGTTCATTGCACCTCTTAATACACTGATTTCCAACTGGATGTAGTAACCTAGAAAGGTGTGGATTTCTACTAACAACAATGGATGCTTGAAAAATGTATAAAAGGAACTAAACTATTATGATAGCAAAAATACATGCAGAATTAACTAGATGGTACATACAATATTTACTAAAAAATGTCTCATCATAAGATAGTATGATAGTTTGTGGAGAAAGTGTAGAAAAATGAGATGTTGAAAAAGGATTCTATTAAGGCAATCCGCTTTATTAGGGCTGTATCAGTTAGTTAGGCTAGACAATAAAGTGGTAACAAACAGGGCAAACTAAACACAACTAAAGTTTATTTATTGCTCATGCTCTGAGCAGGCCAGCAGGAAGCCATGCTCTTGATAACACCCAGATTTCCAGGCTGGAGATGCATGTCAACAGTGGTTTCCATCTATGATCACTGTGGCACAGAGGAAGAGAACGTGGTGGCTTGTGCACCAGGTCTAAAAGTTGTGCCTGGAAGTGACTCATATTCCTGCTACATTTTATTGGCCCAAATAAATCATATGGCTACATCTAGCTTCAGAGCAGGATAGAGAGATGCAATCCTACCAAATAACTAAAAAAAGAATTGGAATATTTGTAAAAAACTCTAATGGCTATTAGAAGAAATTGATCTTTTAGCTTCATCCAAAACTGGAAGAAAATATAAAGCAATGTATAATTTTTCTGAATCTACCCTAAATAAACATGGTGGGTGAAAGACCCATTGTCAGATTTCTTAATTAAAATGATCTGGATGTCATATTTACAAATATATCACTGGTGTTTGGCAGACAAATCTAAGAAAATTCAATCACACTGATTGTTTTCATTAAAAAAAATATGCTAGCGCAGCTGAGCATGTCAGTTAAAATTACAGATTGTAAATAGAAGACCAAAAAGGAATTCTAACCTGTTTCTGATTCAACTGAAAAATAGGGCTGCCCCTGTAGAATACTATAGACAACTTTTGCACTATTTCCATATGTTGGATCATCAGCATCAGTTGCAGTCACTTGAACAACAAATGTGCCTGTAATGACAGAAACATGAATTGGAAATAAATTAAGGGTCTATTACGTTATGGATCCTTGATATACACACACGAAGAAAAAGCAAGATCTTATTTTCTACAAAACTATCATAGCAAGGAAGTGGAGGACCTCAGTAGGACACTAGGTTATAAAGCCTTGGATTTCTCACTCTGAAGGAATGTGATCAACATTTATAAACAATAAACAAGGATTAGGTTAAAGAGAAGCATGGGAATGACCATGACTTTGAGTAGAACTGATTCCAACCCATCTCCAAGGGCGGGATTTGATTGGCTTCTTGCTACAGTGATTCTTTCAAGTTACCTAGGCCTGAGTCAATCGGCATCTTGCATTACTTTGTCCACAGGGATAAGTTAGGGGTTGCCCAATCAGGGGGCCACTCTAGATTTTGATGAAAATTCCGTGTCATAGGCACTCTTTCTCCTGGACTGTAATGTGCTGATGTGGAGCCTGCCAATGCAGCAGCTATTTTGTGACCTCAAGAGATGCTAGCCTGAGGACAAAGCTGAATAGGATAGAAAATTAAAGAGAAATAGCTACAACCCAAATCAAACCATGTCCAAAGCACACTTTACTTCTAAACTTAAGTAACATGACCAATAAATACTTTTATGGTTTAAACGAGTTTGAGTTGGGTTTTCTGTCACTTGCAAATAAAAGTATCCTGAATGATAAATCTATGTGATTATTTGAAGATTCTGAAATGTTTTGAACCTTTAAAAGAGTAATTTTGGATTGAATAATAATTGACTGAACAGCAGAGCATACATATCTGAAATCTGTAATTATAAAAGATGATTTTAATTAAATGCACAAAGAAGTCTATGACATTTTAGATCAGCGTTCTTATTTTAGGGACCACAGTTGCCTAACATCCTTCAAAGTATCTCTAACCCCCATGAAATTGCATGCAAATTTTTATGTGCAGGCCTACATGGATATTTCACTGAAGAGAAGTTCCTTAGATTTTATCTGATTCTCAAAGGGGTCTGTGACTTTCAAAAAGGGTAAGACCCACTGATGAAGATCATTTTATGGCCAACTTTTGCTATTCATATCAGATAAATGGTGAGCACACTGCTGGAGTTCTCCTGTCCATGAAAAGGGAAGGCAAATTACATTTAGGGAATATGAGAATTTTTACATTACTTTTGTAATATCTAACCAATTCCATTCATTGAACAAATATATTGTACTGCGTTGGGGTTGGATGTTCTGGATATAGCATGTTGATGCGTAGGATAGAGCACCCAGCCTTGTAATTTGGCAAGCGAGGTGGGCAGAATGAGAGCATCATAGATTTTAGAGCAAGAGCTAATAGTAGAAGTCAACAAACACCCTCGTTCTTGTTTGACATGAATACGAATTTGACTGCTTTTAGAATATGATTATTTGGACGTTTTGAGTGGCTGTTAGTTGCAAGATATTGTTCTGGGGACTCTGCACTTGTTCTCTCATTTCATCCTCATGCTAAACCCTAAGAGTTGACATTTATTATTTATTTTTTATAGATATGGAACTGGAGGATCAGAGAAATCAAGTCATTTACCCAAGGCCACATTATTGCTTATTAATAGAGATAGTTTCAACCTCAGTCTGTTTGACACCAAAGTCCATTTATTGCACCCTCCTGTTGTCCCACTACCTTTGTGTAATTTCTTTAAGATGCCTTTATATGTCAGAATAATGACACGTTAATTTATGATAAAGATGAACGTGAACACAGCTGTGCCTATGTGCAAATCAGAAAAAGGCTTCCCCTTCTCAAGACATATTCCTGCCAGGTATCCCCAGATATTTGTAATGTATATTTAATTCTGTGATGACTTCAAGAGGGAACGACAGCCCCATAGTTGTGCCGTGACAACGTGCACATGGGGTTATGGTTGCCCTGGGTGGGGCTGATGACGAGACAATCCTTCCTTAATTCTTCCTGAATTCACCACCTAGAGGAAAAACATTTTTCCTAACAAATCTTCCTCTTAAAAGAATTCTAATCCCCCTCCTTGCTTTGGTGATGGTTTGTGATTTTTCTAACAAAAAAAAAGTGACTTCAAGTAACGAGATGAGCAATTTCTTCATGAGAAAAATTTAGATGTTTTACAGCATTTCCATGGATTAGGTATTTTCCAAGTCTTGGAACTGTGAACTAAAAAGGCTCTGATATCTGACTCACAGAATTATAGAAGAGTTTTTATTATGTAACTTAGCCCTTTTGAATTTGACAGAGTGAAAATAAAAATAACCCGTTATACAAGTAGTTTAAAATTTGTCACTGTCTCCCAAGAAGTATTTTAATGTGGCTGAGAGTGATGTTGGCAGAATTCTTTTCTTAATTTAAACTCTGTTTACCTTTTCCCAATCTAAGCAAATTAAATGCATACATATTAACTTCAAAATTCTTAGTAGAATTGTGCACAAAATATTGATTCACCATATTAATGTCATGAAAGTCTCTTAATTTCCACCAGTTAGTAAAAGACATATCCCGTAGATGTCATCTGCCTATTGTTTATGGATTTAAAAAAATATATTTCTTTGAGTCACTTTCCCAAGTATACAGCTACTTAAAGCAATTGTCATTACTCTTTAGTCTGGACTGTAAATTCAGGCTTTTGTTTTCCGTTGGGGAGATTCTAATTCCAATATGGGCTAAGAGAAATAGAACAGGCTGCGATCTTTCAGCCCAGGAAATAGAGTGGGGATTTAGAGCAGGAGAGGAAGTAGATGAGATGGTCTCCCTTTCTTCCTCCCACCCTCACCCTGCCACTTTTCGTAACCTCACCATTACAGGAAATGCTGTTTTCTTAAAAATAACGATAAAATGAGACTAGAGCAATATGAGGAAACACAAGTGCACTTACAAAAAGGACATATATGATAATCAAAAAGATAAGAAATAACAAGTGTTGGCAAGGATGTGGAGAAAAGGGAATCCTTGTGCACTGTTGATGGGAATATAAGCTGGTGGAGCTGCTATGGTAAACAGTATGGAGTTTCCTCAAAAAATTAAAAATAGAACTACCATATGATCCATTGATCCCATTTCTGGGTATTTATCCAAAAACATGAAAACATATATGCACTCCTATGTTCACTGCGGCATTATTTACAATAGCCAAAATATGGAAACAACCTAAGTGTCTGTCAATGGATGAATGGATAACAAAAATGTGGTGTATATGTATACAATGGAATATTATTCATCCATAAAAAAGAATGAAATCTTGCCATTTGTGACAACAAGGATGGACCTTGAGGGCATTATGCTAACAGAAATAAGTCAGACTGAGAAAGACAAACACTGTATGATCTCACTCATATGTGGAATCTAAAAAAACAAATACAAAAAGCCAAGCTCAACAATGCAGAGAACAGACTGGTGGTTGCCAGAGGTGGTGAGTAGCGGGGTGGGCGAAATGAGTGAAGGGAGTCAAAAGGTACAAACATCCAGTTATAAAATAAATAAGTCATAGGGGTGTAATGTATCACATGGCGAGTATAGTTAACAATACTGTATTGCATATTTGAAAGTTGCTAGGAGAGTAAATCTTAGAAGTGCTCATCACAAGAAAAGAAATTCTGTAATTATGTATGGTGACAGATGTTAACTAGACTTATTGTGGTGATCATTTTGCAATATATACAAATATTGAATCATTATGTTGTACACCTGAAGCTAATATGACGTATGTCAATTATACCTCAATAAAAAAAAAAGGACATATATGGACTGTTTGAAATATGATACTTTTTGAATTTAGCATCCAAACTCATTCAGGTCAGTAAATTTTACACATAGGATGCTTTGTTTAGTTATACTAGAGGAGAAACAATGTATGGCTGAAACCACATCTCACTCACCGACGTCCGACATTTCGGGAACGGTGGCCGTGTAAACCTCCTTGGTAAATATTGGTTCATTGTCGTTGATGTCATGGATCTTGATGATGAACTCAGACTCAGGCTCCACGGGTCTCCCTGTCCTTCTGTTTATAGCTTGAGCTCGAAGGATGTAAACGGGTTTTTCTTCCCTGTCCAGCCTCTTGGTGGCCTGTATGTCCCCTGTGTTTTCATTGATAATGAAGAGATCTCCTGCTCCATCTCCTGAAAGGATATATTTAAGTGATCCATCTCCTCTATCCTGGTCTGAATGTAACTAGTGTAGAAAAACAAAATTAAAGAAAGTAAAAGTCACGCATGTGATCCTAAACTGTTTTTGTCTTTATGATGCATGCTCTGTTGACTTTCACTCAATCCTTTCTAAGAGATGCAAGTTTTTCTTTTACTATTTACTTAAATCCTCAATAGTAAATACCATTCATTAATTAATATGTTTCCTTATAATCACAGAAATTTATAGAACAGGGCTTGGAGAAAATTTGGTAATGCTTTTTTTTCCCACCCATGACCTGGGGTTAGAATCTTTGTTTTGAAGAAGAGAAAACTAAAGGCCAGAGCAATAGCAAGATGCCCAAGGACATATTAGCCTGGCTGGAATGAAATTATTTTCACTATAGCTTTCAGATTTTCCTTATATACGCTCCTCCTTGCTTTTATGTACACGGACATACTATAGAAGGGATATACTATTGAGAAAAGGATTTTGGTTTCCTGAATCAGAGAGACCTGGGTATATTCTGCCTCTACACTTCCCTATCTTGATGAATTTAGGGAAGCTAATCAATCTCCTTGAGTCTAATATGATGGAGTTTATAATCACTTTTCTGGGACGAGGTGACATTTATTTACTTCTGTATGAAATTCAACTTAAACCATTTGAGAAACATCTTAAGTGTTGTCATGAACAATGCCTTGAAAATTCCTTGTCTAGATAATTTACAAGGTCACCTAGAACAAGAACATTTAACATTCAGATTTTAGGTCAATATAGGCAAGGATCTTCTAAAAAGTGGAAGCAGCCTAAAATGGAATTGTCTGCTTATGAAGTAGTGGATCCGCTGCTCCTGAAGGTAATCAAGGAGAGGCTCTGAGAAGATTAACAGTCAGTGAAATGGGTCTCGGTAAAGGGTTGAATTAAGTGAACATGAAGATACTACTGAAGTGGGAGATGATGATCCGAACTTGGGAAAGCAGCCCAGCTTACCTTCCCAAAGTTGATTTCCACAGTGTGGACTTCCTGTTGTTTCCTTTGATCCCCCTTTCCCATCTAAGCAGGGTATCTCATAGGTCTTCAGACAATCTAACCTTATTCACAAGTTTTCAAAAAAGTGCCTTTTATTGAGGAGAACTATTTTTAACCCCTAGTAATAAGTGTCAGCTACATACAGACAAGTTAGTTTTCCTGGGAAGGCTGCTCATCTTTACCTGATTTCAATTCCATCTAAATGGAGTAATGTGGGCCATGTTACAACAGTAACAGCAACAACAGTGACAGGTAAACCAGTTCTGTGTCCTCTTGATTAACACCGCATGAAATGCTCAGGGTAGCATCTACAAACACACTTGAAGATAGAATCTCAGGGCAAAAAGGGACTTTTAAAATCAACTAACCAGTCTTTCTTAAGAGTGTATCCCATGGAACATCACGTATACAAAATGATATTCCTGAGGAGAAAGAGTTCTGGGGCCCAATACATTTGGGAAGTACTTCAGATTCTGCCTCTTTCTTGGAGCTGCTCAGTGGCCATTAACATGTTAAAGGCCGTGTGCGTGCCTACAGTTCAAAACTGTACATGACTTTATTTCATCTAGCTTTCCTGAACTTTCTTGTATAAAGAATCCTTGTCGGGTGTGACCCATGTGGATATCCTCCATTATAGTTCTCCATTTCCACTGTGGGAAATGTGAGCTAATTGCATCTATCATTGTAGAGTCAAGACAACTGAGGCTCCAGCTTACATAGTGTTTCCAAAATCACACAGCGCATGTGAAACAGTCAGAATACTTTGCACTTGAGCCCAAGAAGAGGGCTGACGGATTATTTGGTGCGACCTCCACGTTTTTAGAGATAGGGAAACTGTGTCCAATGCCACACAGCTAATGCCACTTAATAGCAGAGTTTGAGGAAGAGAATGTTATTCATACAATTAGTAGCCTTGAAAGCAATTTGGCAGAAATTATGGAAGATAAATGAGAACGGGGAGGAAATTGCTTAGAAGTGAGACAAATGCAATAAGCAATGTAAAACAAGGGCTCACCCTGATTTGTGTAACATGATAGGCTAAGGAAATGTTGAAACCATGATTACACAGAAAGAGCCACTGGGGAAAGTTTAACTCTCCATCGTCAAGTTCTAATGACTGAAGAGTGCTTTTAAAAAGCTATTTCATTAAGTCATGAGTAACGAAACCAACGTCACTGCCCATCGGATCGGCTCCAAGGCAGCCATGGTTAGCAGCCTGTCACAGTGCATGAGGCACTGTGCCTGGAGTCCCAAGAATGGGCTGTGCTCATTCTATCTCACTCACCAAATAGAAGACTGTAGCTGAGTCAATTAACCTCCCTGCACTGGGATCCTTATCAGTAAAATGAGGATAATAGAGCTCCAGGACAAGGCTGTCAGAAAAATCTAATTAGGGACTATAGACAAATACTACATTAATTGCTACCTAAATGTGATAAAAGCACGATATGTGTTTTATAAATTATAAAGCATCTTCCAAATTTAAGATATTTGTTACTATTATTAGCCTTTAGTTCATTATAAGCCATAGCGTGGCTAACAAGTGGTGTAGGTCTGTGCCAGGGATCTGAACCCACAAATCAGGGCCATGGAAGTAGAACACACTGGACTTAACCACTATATTCCCAGGGCCAGTCCCCTTGTTTTGCTCTTATTTTGACTTTGAGAACTTTGTTTGGAGGACTTTGAAAGCCCAATTTACAAACACACAGTATCTCTAAGGTAAAATTTGTTATCAAAAGCCAGTATTCTTCTCCCGTGTGGCAACTGCTGTCTTTCCATGTAATTTATTATATTTTGCATTCCACTAGATTATAGACTCCCCTCGGCCGGTACTTTCATCACTTTCAATATGTAATTGTTGCACACTTAGTAGGTGAATACCACATCTGGTCACAAGATTTATTCAGGTAAAAGTAATCAGAAACTTATTTTTGGCTGTCAGGAGAGACCATTTCAATGACTTATAGAACAAACACCCAAGACGATATAAAAGGGCAGCGCAGATGCCACCTAAGAGCGCCAACAGGGATTGCTCTGCAGATCCCAATCTGATTTATCAATATTTGAACACTAGTGGGAAAATGCATCTCTTCACTCAGGCATTGTCTGATAATAAAACAATTTAACCTCATCCCTCTGGTAGTGCAGTGTCTGTGCTGATGGAGTGCACAGAGCAGAACCCTCCAGAAGCCTTTGTGTGACATTCATTCCCCACTCTCCTCCCCTTCCGTTGAATTCCCCTGGGGCCAGTTCTTTTCTCTTTCCTTGGGGAAAAGAGGAAACAGAAGACATCAGTGCTGGGGAAAGCACTGGTGACAACCAGACATTAGGGGTTTATTGAGCACTTAGATTTTAATTGGATTTTTTCTTTTGTGATGTCATTCATCATGGCCACTGTAAAAGACAGACGTTAAACAACAACAAATAAAAGGTTGTAGGCTGCCCGAGGCATGTTTTTACTAATTTCAGTTTAATGTGGCTGTTCCATTAAGTTTAATCATCTGGTTCTCTTTTAATGATTCACCATCAAGTAAAAATTATCCGCTTCCCTCAGAAAGTCACATGTCATCTGGGGCTGGCAGGACTTTTTACCACTGTACCTGAGCATTTTGTTCCAGAAGGAGCCCTTGGTCTTTGTTTTTCTGTTGATTGATTACTTTTTTTTAAATTCTGCCCCTTGACAAATACATACAAGGATTTGGGGTTGTAGACATTGTCCCGTGGAGGGTGTCACCAAAGCAGGGTCAGCATCTTTTTATGCCAACTCCCAACTTGATCTTGACTCAAATTCAAAGGTGTAACACTAATCATACAGGTTTTTAGTAGTTTATGAAGCGAGCTGGTGCTGTCCCATTCCTCCCATGACATATGTGTCACTGCGTCACATGGAGGTCAGTAACCAAACTGAATCTTCTAAGTGCATGTGTGGTTGAGACAGAAAACAGAATCTAAACAAAAGCTTACCTATGTGGTACATGGGGAAGTACCTACAACAGCCTAAAGGGGCTTAAGGAAGGAAATACGTGATTTTTTGCTGAAATAAAAAATTGGATTATGACTGGCATGCTTGCAGAATATAGTGCAAATGTAATCTGGCCCTTTAAGAAATGTAATGATTTCCAATCTGAGATGTCATAGGACAATTAGAGAACAGCTGTGGTAAAAAGATGTTGTCTATCCAGGTAGAGAAACTGGGGTTACAGCAGAAAGAACACCTTTGTGCCAAATAGATTGAGTATTATTTTATTTTTTTTTTTGAGGAAGATCAGCCCTAAGCTAACTACCGCCAATCCTCCTCTTTTTGCTGAGGAAGACTGCCCCTGAGCTAACATCCGTGCCCATCTTCCTCTACTTTATATGCGGGACGCCTACGACAGCATGGCTTTTGCCAAGCGGTGCCATGTCCGCACCCAGGATCTGAACTGGCGAACCCCGGGCCACCGAGAAGCGGAACGTGCGAATTTAACTGCTGCACCACCCGGCCGGCCGGCCCTGAATATTATTATAAATTAGTAAAGTAAATCTACGATCAAGTTAGGACAAATTAAGGCTTAACTGAATTCAATATATATATGTATATGTATAGATGTATGTATGTCTACATACGTCTCTCTACACAATGCACGTCCACATGATGCTGATAAGTATACTTAGTGTTGTGAAGGGTGTGAAGAGCTTGCTGGTAGAGTTTATGTCAGGAAGACATTCAACCTTGCTTGTACATGGGAGGGATTAAGAATAGATTCTGTTTTAGAGATCATAGGTTTGGGTGAATAAAAATATCTTTTAATAAAATTTTATATTACATATTTTAATATGCTGTATTTGCATGTTAATGATTTAGTATGAGTTAACTAATTTATAGCTGATGATTATTTTACAAATTAAAGTGCTGATGGCAGCATATTATTTGTCGCAGGCTGCTGGAACTAGTGAGACACACAAATTCTCAGGCCCCATCTACCTCCAGAATCAGAAACTCAAGGGGTGAGTGATGCCCAGCCATCTGT